ACCCAACTCTTAATACTTGTACTGGAACTGTTTCTATTCCCCCAAATGCTTGTCCCATATATTACAAGGATTGGTCAGACTGTGAAAATGACCTACTTTCCTGCCTTGATGAATATGATGCAGTGGCAGTACAGTGTTACACTCTTCGTCCTAGAAACATTTGGTTATGTGTGTTATATATCTGATTTTTTTTTTTTTTTTTTTTTCATAATTTACAATTTTGCACAATACAACCTACACTGCCAGTCACAGTGGCTAGGAATACGTTGCTCAGCATGAAAATGGTGTCCTCCCTGGAGCTGGTGCTCTTCCAGTCATGGCTTATGCACATTGCATTTCACATTTGTTTATCAATGGGAATAATGCTAAAACCTTCTAAGTGCCAAATAAGTCAAATCACTCTCCAAGAGGTTTGTGCACTCGTGGGAAGTTTTTTCCATCACCATGGCTTTCACTTTTGACATCAAGTTCGCCTGCAGCCATTTTGCCCGATGACGGCATGTTCATGTCACCCAGTCCTTGACCCTGACTTTTCCATGATAGGACTGTAACGTATCATAGGGGTTAATACAGGAACTGTTTCTGTCTCCCCAACTGATTGTCCTATCTATGACAAGAACTGGTCAGGAAGTGAAGGCCTACTTCCCTTGTTGATTATGATGCAGTGGCAGTAAAGTGCTCCACTATTTCTCCCAGAGGCCATCGTAAATTCTACGCCAATATTGCCAAAATTAGCTTCCACAGACATGACCTCCCCCATGAAATTTATATTGGTGGAGTGTCCTGCCTTGTCCAACCATATCAACCCCTTCCTCATCAATGTAGAAAATATTGGCATTTTTGGCCACCCAGCCAAACACTGTCGCTCCATAGCCTGCTGTCCTCTGTGTGCCCAACCTGGTCATGACCATTCAAATTGCTCTGCTGAGTCATGTATGTGTGCCAATTGTGGTGGCTCCCATAATGTATTTTATAGGAGTTGCCCTGTCTATAATCTTGAATGTGAGGTAGCAATTCTCAGATTCAAACCTAAGTCCCACTCTTCGTGAGGCCAGAGAGGAATCACGAAGAGAAGATTTTTCTTTCACTACCTCTATCAAAATTGTCATTCACTCTGCTACCCTCCCATCATCTCAAGATGTCTCAACATCTCTCCTAGTATCTCTTCCCTCTCCTCAAGTCAAATTCCTTTTCCAGTCTAAATCTTCATCACCTGCCCTAGTCCCTTTATCTCATTCCTCAGATTATTCTCCTTCTTCAACAGCTATCTCTATCCATATTACCCATTGATTGTTTTCATAATGGCTTATGAAAATATTGCAAATCCTTATTGTAGCATACACAGTGAGTCATAATACGTTAAAAGTGGACTGAAAATGCATGTGCTATGCGTGAAAATATGAAGTACCATAATATTGTGATCTTTTTCCTCTTTATTTATTTTACATTATAGATAACAAATCATGCTGGAAATACTTCTATATGATATAATTAACTATTATTTACCTTTATTGTTGCAATAATGGGGTATTACAACGTATAATATTGGTCGAAAAAATGATTGTTCTCAAGACCACCGAATATCACAGTCTACCCTGATATTTGGAGGTCTTGAGTGTTTGAAAGGCCTTTGTGCACACATTTTTTTTATGCAAGGGTCCAAAGTGTTTAACTCTACAGGATGATACACCCAACTCTCACACTAACACCTGTGAAATAACGATATACAAGTACAGGGTGGTGTAAAAATATGTATATAAGATATGTAAAGATATACAGATAATTTCCGTGTATTCCATGACTTTTTGTTTATTTATAGTTACTTCTGTTTTTGTTTTTGTTTTTTGTTTGTTTGTGTTGTCTGATATTTCAGAAAGTTACGAACACATTTTAATGAGATTTTTACCAGAGGTGTGTTTTAACCTAACTTAGATGCCGATGACACTTTGGTGGTGATGGACTATGGTTCAAATCCAGGATTTTTTTTTTTTTTTTTTTTTTTTTTTTTTTTTTTTTTTTTCTCTACCTCAAAAAGTTATGGGCAGATTAAGAAAAAGAAAAAATTATTCCAGAAAATTTTGCAGGTGATCCGTATCATTTGGCAATCCTACCCCCAATTTGAGTGAGGGGGAGAGTTTGCATTTTCAATATTTTTTGCTCATAGATCAATCTAACTATATATGATGAAAATATAAAGAAAAGAAAATACTCCATTTGAACGGCATATGTTTATTTGTATGAAAAATTTCTTTGTTATTGTTTTTTCGAAATTATTCCGAAAAAATGAAGGTTGGTCTCATCTTACATTAAATTTAAAAAGCTTACAGAAAATCATCTAATTTTCTTATTACATCTAATCATTATATTGCATTTGTCGATTTTCCAAGGTAAGGTGAAAAAAAATAATATTTCGGTCGACATCGAAAAGGGCTGCTATCACCTTAAAAACAGTATTCGGGCTATGAAACTTCCAGGGGAGAATCGGAGGCCCTCAAACTCCTTGTAAATGCATTTAACTCAATTTCGGCAAGATGGGCAAAAAACGCTGAAAAATGACCAGATGATCCCCATATCAATAAACCCATTTTTATGTAAAGGAAAAATTATTAGTTATCTTAGACCAAAAATTGTTCATTGGAATGACTTTTAGAAATTTGGCCATTGGGCCAGTGGTGCTCAGTCGTTTTTGCAGTCCTGGGTGGAGTTGGTTATCCACATATTTATGGCACCTACAACCTACTGTAGCAATTGCAGGTTGCATTTTTTACTGGTGACACATAAAAAAGGTACAATAGCTGTTTCAAATCTTTATGAAGACCTTGCATATGACAGATTTTCAAAATTCCATGTAGTTTTCATTTTGGAGCAAGTATCATTGTGTACTGTCATCTTCAGCATAAAATAATCAATATCTCATTTATTCTTCTGAAATTTTAAAATTTGGCTCTGCGATGCCTTTGGTATTGAAGTGCTCTTCACAACAGAAACAACAAATTTCAAATCAAAACAAAGTGGATGACAGTGGACTGTGCCGACCATTATAACAAAGCCAAACTAAAATATTATTATCATTATTTATACTTTTTTTTTTTTTTAATGTTTGTACTGTATACTCTTTATACCTGCAGACCCTTTTATAAGCTGCAGCATATTACTAAGGAGTCTTTATGGAAAGCATGTTTCATGTGTAAATGTAAATAAAAGCACATTTTAAAAGTAAAATTTACAATATATATCATCATAAATTATTGTGACTTACATTTTTTCTGATATTGTTATAAAAGTTTTCTTTGGACATTCATTAACTCATATATATGCACAAGGTCATTATCAAATGCTGCAAAAGTCCATACAGGTATACCTGGTGCTGTTTAACTGTATAAGTAGTTTACCTATGCCCTTGCTCCTCCAGAGAAATAACCTGAGGTGGGCTCTACCAGTCATTAGTAATTTCCTCATTTGTGTACGTATACTGTAGGCTTTCTAATTCAAGATCACCCATCAAATATTTGTTTTGACAACAAACATTAAGAGTCCAAAAGTGAGGAAGATAACAAATCTGATATTTGTTGTTAAATATTTATGTAGTTCTCATTCATATGTTACTGTATTATGATTATTGATTATTAACAAGGTAAAAACCCTTTGAATGCGGTTGTTTCACGGCAATCACATAGCCAAAAATATGGGCAGTGGGTTACATAAGTGACTGCTATCCTGGGCATGCGATGATGAGACTGTGTGTCTCCCCTTTGCAAAGTTATATTGTGTAAACTTTTTTAGCTTTTTTGCCATTTTCCAATTTCCATGTTTTTCTTTTGATTTGCTTTATTTGTGTATGCACAGACTACATTATCTCTTTATGTAATAAATAAAGTTAGTTCATGAAAAAAGTAACATTTTGTTATTTGTTATACATTTTATTTTTTTTTGTGATTTTCAATTTTCCATTACAACCCGTGCCAAGAATATGATGTTAAGCATGGAAATAGCATACTCCCTAGACCAGTCATGACTTATGCACGATACATTCCACTCTTGTTTTTCAATGGAAATAATGCAACAGCCTCCTTCTAAGTCTAATCACACTCCAAGAGGTTTATGCAATCATGGCAAGTCTTTTCCATCACCCTAGCCTTTGCTCATGACTACAATTTTGCGTCACCTGGCCTGCCGCCATTTTGTCCGATGATGGCATGTTCATGTCACAAGGCTCTTGGCCCAAATTTTTCCATGACAGCATGGAAATATAGTGGTTAAATATAAGAACACCATGTTTGTTATTTTTTTGTCATGATTTCTAATTACCTAGAGTGCTGTATAGCATTTTAGATGGTTTTTCATTAACCCCTACGATCCAGATGACGTTACAGTCCCGCCATAGAGAAATCCGGGTCAAGGGCCAGGTGACGTGAACATGCCATCATTGGACAAAATGGCCATGGGCTGGGTGACGCGAACTTGTCATCATGAGCGAAGGCCAGGGTGCACAAACCTCTTGGAGTGTGATTTGACTCATTTGGGGCTTAGAAGTGGGCTTTTCCATTATTCCCATTGATAAATAGATTTTGAATGCAAGGTGCGTAAGCCATGACTAAAAGAGCGCTGGCTCCAGGGAAGAGGTCATTTCCATGCTGTGCATAGTATTTCTGGCTGCTGTGACTGGTGGTGCAGGTTGTATTTTGCTAAGTTGAAAATTTAGAAAAAATAAGATGTTCCTTTTCTTCTTCTTCTTCTTCTTCTACTTCTTGCACAGAGTTCTTTACTACATTGAGAGATGATATGGAGTCTATCGAAGGAAAATAAGCTATTACCATCAGGATAAAGCAAATCAAAAGACAAATATGGACATTTGTCACTATTCATGTGTGCCTGGCCTATGTGCCACACACCTGGGATATTATTAACACAATTTTCAATTTATTAGTCTATAGGAAATTGGTCTTATAGGAAATTACATGATACGGTCAAAAGTTTATTTGTGCATATTTATTTTCCAGGTATACAACAAGGAAGAAAATTGTTATGTATGCAAGAACAAGTATTATGGCCGCCAGCTTTCAGAAGATGGCTTCAAACAGACTTTATGGCAATTTCTACATAATGGTCGAAGACTTCGTTTAGATATATTGGAAATAATTATTAGCAAGTTAGAAGAATTACACACTATTATTTCTAAACTTGACTCAGTTCGTTTCTTTACTTCTTCATTATTAATCCTTTATGATGGAAATGATCCTTGTCATTTAAAACCCCATCAGCGTGAAAGTGAAAGAGAGAAGGATAACAAAACCCCAGATAACGCAAGAGTAAAGACATGGACGGAGACACGGCAAGATGACAGCACAACCCACCGTGAAAGTTGGCCATCTAAGGAGGCCACGGCATCGTCCCTAAGTGCCAAACACCCAGCATATATGAGAGAAACACTGATGACTGGGGGTGGGAAGGCGCCAAGAGAACAGATCAGCAGAAATGAAGGCGAACCTCCATACAAGGCAAAAGGTCGGCACAGACACAGGGAGTGCAAACCACGCGTCGACATCCGTCTCATAGATTTTGCTCATGCTACTCACAAGGGTATGGGTGATGCGAAAAAGTACCATGGCCCAGATGAGGGAATCATGTTAGGGTTAGATAGTCTCATCAAGATATTTCAAGACATTAGAGAAAAATTTGATCATTGACATAAATGTTCATGGATCTACTTCTCTTAGGTCTCTCACAGGTGTTCTTGTCTATGTTAGACATCATTACATCACACTTCAGATTCATAACATCATGAGTGTATTGTGTATGCAAATGTAGTTATGACTATTATTCCATGTCAGAAAGATGTAAATAGGTTATCACAGATTCTGTATTCCATTGAAAGAGTATAGATTTAGCAGCCAGTGTTTCTTGGCCTGTAAAGTTTATACTAAGTTTAATGGTAAAAAATCTCATCTTTTGCAAATGTTTGGCTGTTCCGAGGAGGAATAGTGCTGTGCCAAATCATCATCTGTCCTTGCATATGTGTGTGTCGGGAAGGGATCAGTTGATAGGCGACGGAAGTCTTAAAATTATTCAGCAGGTTTGTTCTATCGTCTCATTTTCATATCCTATAGTAATGGCTTTAAGAAAGCAAAATATTCACTGGTTTATAGGTTTAGTGAATGAGTCATTATTTATATTTTAATTTGGTTGTGCTTTTTTTTTTTTTTTTTTTTTTTTCTTTTTTTTTTTTTTTTTTTTTTTTTTTACTCAGATCATCTCTGGTTTGAAACAGAGGAGCATCCCTTTTTTTCTTTTTCTTTTTTTTCTTTTTTTTTATTTCTTTTTTCTTTTTTTTACCTCAGTATGTTAAGGAAGAATGTTTTGAAGATTTATAAAATCAAATGTATAAATATTAATTTCTTTTTATTTTCCATATAATGCCAGTTTTAAGAAACATTCATCTTGAAAGATCATGAAAGAGAAAATTACAGGAGTAGCAATATTCATGTGAAAAATTAACAAACATACAAATAATGCTTGAATGTGCATCTATATGTGTATCACATAAGATATAAAAGTATGTATGGTTACATGTGTACATATATTTTGTATATACAGTATGTGTAATACAGATACTGATGGATATCATTACATAGTGGACATTTGAGTGCAGAAATAGATATCTATACATACATACGTAACATGCACATATAACTTAACATGCAGACAAAAAAAAAAAAAAAAAAATCACATGTGGACACACAATCACAGCTTCTTCATTTATAGATAAGACTATCACACATATGTATATCTATGTACATGAAAGAACTTATAGAATATAGAATATGTAAGTAATGGGAGGTGAAGTAGCCAGGTTATATCAGCTCACATATGCTTTTCCATATTACATTGCTTGTATACCAGAAGGTGGCAGTTCTAGATGTTCAGGTAATGTATTTGTGAATTACATGTGAATGGAGATGGTGATATGAAGTCTTCAAATACTGTATGTGATTCATTGTTAGTGCACTTACAGATGGTAATGAACTAATACCATTAGATACATATTATTTTGTTATTTTGTTCCTTTGTTTCTCTTTTGTCTTTGTTCATTGAAAATATTAATACCATGTTTGTTGTTTGTCTCATTGTTATAGTCTTTGATAGTTGTCATTTCAACCATTAGAATTCATCAGCAAGCACCAGCATATCATCATCATTATCATCAAAATTTCCATAGGCATTTGTATCTTTTGTCATAGTTACAACTTCCCATTACAATCGCTGATGCCACTATTAATGTAATTGCAATATCTATCAGCGGTAAATGCTACTTTGTTGTTGTTGATGGCTTCATATTTAAATGTTTGCAGTTACATTTATCCTTTTCATCTTATCATTATTGTGTGTAAGATTGATTTTTAAGAAACATATAGGCCTATGTAGGAGTTCGTTCTATCATTACAATATTCCCTTGATTTAGTTACTTTCTTGATAACCATATTTTTATTTATTCTGAAACTGTTAATTTGACAAATACATACATTGCCATTTAAAGCAATGGAGATCATTTCTTAGGAAAGTAATATTGGCCAGTTTTGTTGGTAAAGAGTACATACAGTGAGTGTAGTATGGTCTAGCATACATTCATGTGTAAGATGGCTTCCTAGTCAGATTCCAAAAGACATGAAAAAGGACTGTTCTTTGTAAAAGTCAACTATGAGGGTTAGAATGGGGTCAATTGGAGAAAATGCATTATTGACTTGGAGGAAGTTAAACCATCAAGAGGTTGCTGGCAGGCATGTATTTTTTCTTTCTTTTTTCAAGATTAATTAGTATCAGTTTTTCTATAGTGCAGGGCTTTGTGTGTGTGCAAGTTTGTTAATGGTAACATGGTAATTTTCACATTAATGATATTGCATGGCTTGGAAACTGAGTATCTTGTAAGAAAAGTTGTTATGGATAACTTCAGAGGGTTTACGGCAGTTATTTATTGTTTACTATAGAGAGATGAATAGTACAGTGAACTATACTATATTACTGATTGTAGCAAAGGAGTTACTAGTTACATTTTCCATTTTTTTTGTTTGTTTCCTAAGAATATATAAGCATGGGGAACAGGAGGTATGACACAAAGTCTTTGGTGTGTGTGTATGTTTATATATATATGCATATGTGTGTGTGTGTGTGTGTGTGTGTGTGTGTGTGTGTGTGTGTGTGTGTGTGTGTGTGTGTGTGTGTGTGTGTGTGTGTGTGGTGTGTGTGTGTGTGTGTGTGTGTGTGTATGTGTGTGTACACACACACACACACATATATATTATATATTATATATATTATATATATATATATATATATATATATATATATATATATATATATATATATATATATATATATATAATATATATATATATATACATATCATTCATACATACATCTGTGTGTTCGTCTCTTTCTGTGTCTGTGTGTATCTGTGCCTGTGTCTGTGTTTGAGGGTTATAGTGATCAAGTAAGACTGCCAACCTGTGACTGGAATACTAAAAATTTCCTAAGTGGTGTTGAGACAAAATATTCTCTTTCTTTTCTTTTATTTTATTTTTTTTTTCTAAAATACAAAAGAATAAAAGAAATGGCAAATTGGAGTACTTCAGAATCTGGGGAGATATCAGTTGCAATTTCTTCTTGAATAAAAGTATGGTGAAATGTCTGAAGATTTACATCTTTAGTACAGTTCTGTGATCCATGGTTAACATTCTTTTTGATGTATTTTCCTCTTCATTGCCAAGTTATGCTATTAAGCCATGCCTCATTGACTCTCTCCTTGTCTTTTGCATTGGCTTTAGACACAGTATTTTTGCAGTTGCAGTTGATGGCTCTGCCCATAGTTACATCCCATACACTATTTATTTGTCTGAATTCTCTGTGCTGTGTTCAGATTACTTGTGTCTCTTGTGAAATAAGCATAGTTTATTGAAGAATGTCCCAATGGGATGTGATGGTGGCAATCTAGAGAGCCTACTTGTTTCATTTTGGTGAACTCCACTGCTTATATGGGTGTGTGGCTGGATTCTTGCAACAGTATTTTACATACTCATTGTCAGGCTAGGATAACTTGTCCATGGATCTTCCAATTATTGATAAACAGAAATTTCCAAAAATTCAAAACAAGTGTAAGGGTATACCTGGCCTTCCCACACAATGAACAAGTACAGCACTACATATGCCATCCATACAGGGGTTAAACAGGTCATTGAGTTAGCTGACCAAGGTCAAAATATTCCAGCCCACCATTAACACACATTTTCTTCAGGTTGTTTAAATATTTTGAGACAGGCCAGTGAGCTCACTTGTGAGTCATTACCAAATTTGACCCCTCAAGGACATTCCATGTGATGAATAACCTCCATACCAATATTTATCCACATATTAGGTAAAACTGAACTAGTTTTTACATTTCTACGTTTTTGTTCCCTTCCCTTTTGTTTTAGTTGATAATTGGCATTTTCACCACACTTCAAAGGACCAGAAATGTTTTTTTTACAGTTAGAAATGTCTCTTGCAAGAAATCTTGTCCCTTCATGGGAGCTCTGCCATATATTACATTGGTTTATGGCAGTGGTAATGACAAAGGGATGGGGATGAAGTGTGAGAGTTGTTGTTCTCTTTCTTGGTTCTTAGGTGCTCTGTGGAACTCCCCAGGTTTTATGAAGTCAACTCACTGGATGTTTCCAGTAAGGCAATTGTACACCTGCCTTTATCCTATAACCTAAACAACATGTCTTGGAAACAAAAAGAATAAATTGTATCAAATGCCTTGTTACAGTAATATATTTGTGTGTGTGTGAGTGTGTGTGTGTGTGTGTGTGTGTGTGTGTGTGTGTGTGTGTGTGTGTGTGTGTGTGTGTGTGTGTGTGTGTGTGTGTGTGTGTGTGTGTGTGTGTGTGTGTGTGTGTGTGTGTGCACATATATAGATATATATATAAATGTATCTTAGATAATATACTATATATATATTATTTATATATATAATATATATATATATATTAATATATATAATATACATATATATACATATACATAATACATATACATATGCATATACATATATACATATATACATTCTACATACATACATACACACACATATAGTTATCTATATATAATGTAATATTTTATGATTTATTATAAATGTAACTTAATCACCTATATATATCAATAAGTAGATATATTATATATGTCATCACATATACATAAACTATACATCACACAGAATATACAATATGTATAATATATATCAAATATATTATTATCAATACATACATCATCATAACATATTATACTATATGCTATATACATAGCATAATATATATATATATATATATATATATACATATATATATATACTACACACACATATATATATATATAATATATATATATAATATATATATATATATATATATATATATATATATATATATTATGTAATATATATATATACCATATATATTTATAGGTAATCTTTATATATATAGAATGTATACCTATATATGTATAGCACATATATTTAATAATACTTATATATATTACATTACATATATATATATATATATATATATATGATATTACACTATAGTGGTAATGCTTACCTAAGTACTATTAATTTATATATATTACAATATATATTTGCTCACAGATTATTTGTATATTAAAGCATATTTCAATGTAATATCTACTGTATCATAATATGGCGGGTAGATACTATATATATATATTATATATATTACTATATGGTATTATATATATATGTATTTTATATACATAGATATATGTATATATGCACATATATATAATAGTATACATATATATACATATATACTATATACTACTATAATATATATCTATATATATATATGTATATATATATATACATATATATACACATATATATAATGACATATATACGATATATATATATATAGTATATATATTATATATATATATATAGTAATATATATATATATATACATAAATATACATATACATCAATCTTATATATATATGATATATATATATATATTTTATATCTATATAAATTATATATATATAAATACATTTATATATACATTTATATATACAATATGCAAATATAGACCACGCACAGCACACACACATATTGTAGACACACACCACACACACATCAGTCAATAGACTCACAGATGTACTATGGATCACTAGATTACACACACATCAGACGCCACATGACATATTATATACATTGACATAAACATATATATACATAATAAAGTATATATAATTTATAATATACTATAACAAACACATATAACTATACATAATATATAGAGGGATATTAATATGGATATTAATATAATAAATATATAATATATATTCATAT